TTAGCTAGAACCCTTGAAACTTTCAATTTAGATGTATGGTGTGTCTCCGAAACACACATACAAGACCCTACTTCAATCATCATCTTGCGATCTCCAGATCCGACCTCATCCTCACGTTACACTCTCTATGGGCGGGCGATTCGGTATCCGAAGCTCGCGCTGTTTCTGGTAGCTACTACGGCATGGCGTATAAGGCTTCCGGCCCCGACGAGCTGTCCCGATCGGTTTGGTAAGGATGGAGGTTCAACCTTGGTTTTGGAGTTAACGAAACTCTTGGACTCAGTGTGGGAGAGGGAAGAGGTTCCAACTGAATGATGTGAATCGATGATCATACCGATTTACAATAAAGGCGACAGATTCTCTTGCCTCTAAACTTCTCGCTGATATTATACTACGTCGATTGTGTGCAATACGTGAGGAGTGCACGCATGAGAACCAGGCTGGTTTTAGACCTGGTCGAGGTTGTATCGACCACATCACTCTCCGCCAAATTCTGGAACATCGACATTATTTTCGTAGACCCACTATCTCTATCTTCCTCGATCTGAAAGCTGTCTCTGACTCAGTCGACCGCTCCAAACTCTGATGCTGCTTCGCCCCAAAGGGTGTGTCCGATAAGTTTATTCCAATCCCTCTACAATAATGGCCGAAGCCGAGTCCGAGCTTCCGGCACTTTCACCCGAGTTGACTACAGAAAGTTGTGTTCGACAGGATTGCCCTCTCTCTGTTTCTATTTAACTTCTTGAAATAGCCCTATCCTCCTGCGAGGTTATCGATATCAATTTACTCCCAGATGGCAGACTGTCAGATCTAGAGTGTGCAGTTCCAGGTGAATTTTATTTCGCCTGTTCGCTGAGCTTGGCAATTTGTTCGCAAACCTCTCATCACCAGCCGAGGTGACATCATCAGTGCTTGTAGTGATGATGTCACCTCAGCTGGTGATGAAACCATGGTAAACAAATTGCCAAGCTCGGTGAACATGCGAAATGAAATTCAGTTCATCCGAGTTACGAGCACCAATTTCCAATACTTTGTCAACAGATCCAGGTAGGTTGAAAGCTTCTCTGGATAGTTTGGGTGCTAGTGTAACCATGTCGATATGCCTTTTACACCGTGAAAGTGAAATGTTACCACAAGATTAGGCTGGCCCAGTGCCCAATCTCATCCTGGCTGGGAAGTAGTTGAGAAGGTAGACAGTTTTTGCTATTTGGGCATCTATATCTCACCTGACGGACGCATCACAAATGAGGCGTCGGCTTGCATACAGAAGGCTTGTTTTACGTTTTCCAACTGGAGACATCTGTGGCACCGTCGCGACGTCCGGTTGTCTGTGAAGGGTCTAGTATATGACAGTTTGGTAAACAACAATGTTGATTGTTGTTTTTGTAATATATGTTACAGCAGTTAGGCATGTCCTGCTCTACCGTCTAGATGCGTGACCATTACGGGAATAGGATAAAAGTAGATTGTCCGTATTCGAACACTGCTGTCTACGTTACATTGCACGAGTCTGGTGGAGTAACCGGATGAGCAATGCTGAGCTTAGACGTAGAGTTTTAGGTAATCGCTCTCGCCCCCTGGATCAAGTAGTCGACCTCGGTAGATAACGCTGGTTGAGACATTTGTAACGGATGTCACGAGATAGGTTGCCACGGCGTACGATGTTTGCCTAGGTAAGCAGTGAACAGAAAAAGATCAAGGGCTGTCAAACAAAGACCTAGTATGAGGGTATGAAAACCCTAACCAGTAGACTGGGTCACATAGGTCTCGTTAGGCATTGATGTCATCAGTTCAACCAACACACAATGGAACGAAAAAATAAAATCAACCTCGTGATCAAGTCAGAGACTTGACGCCTAGTAGACTCAAAAAGGTTCTGAAGAAAGAACGCCAGTCTATTGACCACTCGTGTGTTTGGACATTTCATTTTTATTGTTTTCAATGGAATTCCACTTTACTTACGATCCATCATGGATTAGGCAAGCTGTTTGAATATGGAGTGAATTTTCAGTGATTCTAACCACTATAAAAACAATTATGGGTTTATGATCAAGAGCCTCGTTCATTATCCAGCGCCTAGATTTGGTTTGCTTTAGTACCTTTGTGGTTGTGTACGCCAACACGGTGTTTATTTAGGCTCCGTTTCGAATAGATATGTGTACAAGCATATGCACCGGTACCTTCGAAACCCCAAAACAGTCATTCTAAAAGACGAACTACCGGTTTTACTATTGCTGGGTATTCACACAATTCTGCGCGCTACACAGCAAATCCAAGTTTGGATTTATAAGGGTCAAACGGAAGAGAGGAATCGTCAGTGAACATCGTTTCTTTTTTTACAGATTCGAACCCTCAAAACTTTCGTTTAGTTTGCACAATGTGGGAAGGATCGGGAACTACATCACTAAACACGAGTCTGAGCCATATTTATCAGTCTTCAGCACATTAATCAATATTTAGGATACCTCAACCTTGGAGTCACGTCGACAGTGAAGTTCCTCATTCTCAATGCCTGTCCTCCACGTTCCGTCTTCGATAAGGCACTACGTCAAAAGCAACACGCAGAAATTATAAGCACGTGCCCCACCCATCCCAAACGATAAAGCTTAATGGTCCCTTCCTTCCATCTTCAACAATCGGTGGTAGTTTGTTTGTCATTAGGGCTTCTGTAATTGGGAGTTCGTACGGAGACTCATTTCATCATCGCTGTGGTCCCAGATATCATGAACCCTC